TGCGCTTAGGTTTGGTTACGGATATACTGGACGAGGATGTGGTGCAGCCCTTGCAGGTGACCCTCTCGGCCATCACGTTGGCCTCCGAGACCGTCAGAAGTATCCTCAAGATTGACGACATCATAGCGACTGTGCGTTGATTTCTGGGATCGAGTTTTTCTATCATTTAATTAATTTCTTGTATTTGTTTTTATGGTTTTATTTGAAACGCTTTTTGAATAAAATTATGAAATGATTGATACTTAAAGTGTTTTTCAGTTTAATTTAATTTTCTGTTTTCTGTATTCATTTTTTATACCAGAAATCAATGCTTTTTTTCGACAGAATGACTAACTTTTTAATGATTGAATTGATTGTATGTTTTAATAATGAGACTATATTTGAGAGACTAATGAATAAATGATTTAACGTTTTGTTTTGATTTAATCACTAATTGATGATATCTTCGCGGAAACCTGATAGCGATTCCTTTGCCACAGATATGCCATTGATATCCATTGGTGATAGCCATTAAACACCACTTTTGCTACCCCTCCATATTTGCGATTGTTGCACGTAATTACAGTCGAGACAATCGAGGCTTGAGGTCATGACTCGTATGAATTTCTGGAGAGAAGTCCTTTCGTACTGAACGGATAGATATTTGAATTGTTTTTATAATACATTTTATTCAATCAGTTCACTCACATAGTACTATCGAATTGTCCCTGTACACATTTCAATGCAACTTAAATATAGATTTAAATAAAGTAATTTATATTTGATATCAGAATTTAAGATAAATATTGATAGAAATAACGAGTTCTCTAAATTAATAAAATATATATTTAAAAACAAATACAAATACTGTAACAAAATGTAACAAAACTTTTGCCGATCTTTCCACTCATCGCGAGTCGCATACATTTCTTATGACATCCCATACCATACGAGTCGACCGTCCGATTCGACGAGTGGCCAGACGGGACACCTCTGAGCACTGACCCACCCCTCCACCCCTTTCCTGTGCTCCTTGTCGTGGATGAGGATGTGTTGCAGTCATGGTTGAGCGCACTGGGAAACTGCCCCTCCAGGCCCTGCCCTCCTTTCTACCCGTAGGTACCAGCGAGGAGTTAGTTCCGATGGAGTCCCCGCCACAGGACTCCATTACTGCCACTTTACTCTACACCTTAACCGCCACTACCCCGGACTCTGTCGTCAGTCCGAGGTTCGCCTCTAAAGAGTTGACTCCGAATACGACACAACCCTTGAACCGTCAGATACCAGACAGCCCTCCACTGCCGGAGTGTTGCCCTCTTCGGCGGCAAATATATGGATGAAATGAGATATACGACGAATCCGACAGTCGCTATCTTCAGGCTAAAGTAGCTGTTCTTATGGAACAACTCGAGTGACTTCAGACACATCACTCCTATGGATCTACTGGTCCACCAAAACAGAGTGAGACCTGCCATCAGACATACAATCAGTGATGGAATCCATAGAACTTTAGCCCAAAACAGGTGTTCTCTCGTCGGCGTAAAGCTATTCGTCTCCTCATTGCTGTCCACCCGATGTGTTGCTGTCTTGATATCTTTCTCTGTCTGTATGCGATCACCAGTTTTGGTGTCTTTCCTGTCATTACTTTGAGACTCACTGTCCATATCAGAAGACAACAGTTTAGTTGTCTTTTTGCGAATGGCTGTCCACTGTCTCTGAACTGTCAGTGCAAATAATGGCCAGACTGGAAAATAGAAACCATACAATAAGTCCGTCTGTGAGGCCAACGGTGTGTGCTTCGAGTCGGAGTATGTCGTGCCGTATGAACAACACATACGCCTTAATACTCAGTAATGCGGCGAAAAACGGCCAACATTCCAAGGATGACTCCTATTGTGAACAATAGGGTCGACACTCTCCCAAAACACCTCTCCTCTCATCGGTACTTCCACTTCACACGTGTCCTCATTGTCGGTGTTCTCCTGTCTGTCCTCTTGTCTGTCCTCATGTCTGTCGCCTGTATTATGGGTGCCGTCGGGAAAGATCGGAGGCTCGACCTTATAGAAGGAGACATTGTCTCTATAGAGAGAGTCGTCAACTGATTGAGTCGTTGTGTCGGCGGAAGTACTCTCACCGACAAACCAGTTGCCAACCTCTGAGTACGGGTTAGTCTCCAAACTATTGATACATTGGGAGTGGAAGTCATCGATTCGGTGTCTGATTCCTCGACATCTCCATCTGAGTCGTAAGAACTGGAACTGTTGTCCGCCATAGAGTTGTTCCAGTCGTACGACTCTTGAGATGCGGTGTCGTCCCACTCTTGAATCCCACTACAAGAGATGCCATCCCTTAGGTCGTCCTCTCGGTAAAGCCGTTCTTTTCTGTCCAATTGTGAGCCAATTGAAGGGCAGAGATCTCTTTCCTCAAATGCTTCATAATGGTTGGCCCACTTCTGTCCATATATTCTTCACCACAATCTTCTTGTTCATCGACTGTTGGGTCATAGACGGGGGACACAACCACTTCGGCGTCGGTATCCGTGGGATAGATAACTTCGACGCGACGGGAAGTGTTTGTGTTTGTGTTGGTCTCGTTCTGACTCTGAGCTAAGATATGAGGGCTACGGTCGGGGCCACCACTTAATGTCCGCCGTGTGTGGCCTCCACTCAGGTGCGGTTCATGTCTGGAGTCCGGTCCGTGAAGGAAGTCATATATTCGCGAAACGAGAGGATGTCGTCCGAGTGGATCCACTGAATCAGTGCCATCACTGGATTCACTGCCATCAAAGGACTCCTCACTCCAGACGTCGCTTTCATCTGAATCCGAATATTCACTGTAAGACTCCCTTTCCCCCCCAATCCTGAAATGTGGAGTTAGACGCGGACTCGTCGTCACCAGAGGGGTAGATGTCTTCGTACTCGTGTTGGTTATGACTTGTCCTCCAGTCGTGTGGAGTGATTGGATGAGCGGTGGGCCAACCCTTTAGACCATTGCCGCCAAACTCTGGTCTAACGTTTGCTCTGTACTGAGACTGGAGGTTAACTCCCCGCCCCATACCATCTCTGATCAATCCCTGGTGCGACTGACTATACTCTTGTGGGTATCCACCGTTCATTTGTCCGTTGAGTGTGTTGTCTGATTGAAGAGGAGGTCCGCCGATCATCCCTTCAACCAGAAGTGGGTCTCGAGAAGAGCCGACACTCTGTGGTGTCTTCCACACGACAACTGGTCTCCCAATCCGTGAGCAGATCTTCATCTGTAAGACGTCTGTGACTATTGAAGTGAACCGCACTCTTGGTATCACTTCTGTCTCTGTCTTCAGATCTGTCTCTTTGGTGTCTTAAAAGTTACATGTTATTGTAATATTTGAGTGTTTTAAAAAATATTGGTTCCAAAACACCATCATTTATAGTATTCAATAGAAAATGAGTATTAAATAAGTGACATATTTATGATTTTGTGGTTAATTTGCTTTAATTCTCACAAAATCATAGAAGGCTTCTGAATAAGTTTGAGGAAGATTTCAGTTTAAGAATAATTTTGCTCACATTCCATGGATTAGACAAACGTTTAGGTTATATTAAAAGGTATTCAATTGCAGTTTAGAGAAGATTTTAGCAAATATTGTAAAATATAAACACTTTATAATCCAGTTTACAGTTAAAGTGAACTGTCGTTTGAAACAGAGATTTGATTGCTGTTCCGTTTGTATCTTTCGACAATCCTTTGCACAACATTTCGACTTAAAGTACTGCTCTGTTGTCCGACAACGAGTCTGTTAGGGCACAGGTGTTTGTTGTGGGCGTGTGCCAGAGCTACGAACCGGTTCTCGAAGATCACGTCTGGACACCATCCGCACGGATACACCAGTCGGTTGTAGACAATCACTTCGTCTCTGTATTTCTGAATGTTATCCAAATCGCAAACACCGGTAGGTCTGCGACCCTTAATATTGAAGCCGCAGATATGGTTCAGTTTGTGTTGACTCAACGCAATCGATGTCCGGAACTGTTTGTCACAATTGGCGATATCGCACACAAACAACTGATTGTGCGCTTCGTTCGCATGGATTTCCATTTGAGGGAACAATTTGGTGAAGAATCCGCAGCCGTCGTGAGTGCAGAAGAGAAGTGTCTGTCCGTTAACCGTACGTTTTGCGTACTTTTGTTCGGCTCTCGCAGTCATTGCACTCATAGTAGGAGGACTTCTACTACTCATAACCACTGAAGACGGGTTGATCCTATTATCTAATAAATGATTTTGTTTCATATAAGTTGAAAGAAATTTATAGAAAAACTTATTTTCACAAGTTTTAAGTCTATTTAATTTGAGCTCCAATTCAGTGTCATTTTTCACAACATTCCTATCGATAGACCACTCGTTATATTGAGTCAACACTTCACTACATTCCAGCCTTATTTTCCAATTGAGCAAGAGCATTTTGGATAATATTTTGTATAATTTTGTCACCGGTGAGCTTAGTAATTTATTTGATGAGTATGTTTGTGAACTATTACAAAATAAAATTTAATATAAATAATAGCACAATCAGTTATATATTATTATGAACTACCTATTTTCATCAATAGTTAGGGGGTCCACCTCAAATAACTCACCACCAATTAATGCCAAACTATAAATATCCGATTTGTGGTTGTATTTCCTACCTAGATTATTTTCTGGTGCCTGATACCTCACATCCCCGACATCTGCCGTATGTTTATGTGTTGTCCTGTAGTGGACGCGTTTGTCGTGAACTGTAGCCAAACCGAAGTCACATAACTTAACAAATCTACCGTTCCTTACACTTTCAGAAATTAATATGTTTTCAGGTTTGAGATCCCTATGAATGACCGGTGGTTCCAATTCATGCAAATACTGAACACTTTCTAAAATCTGACGGAATATTTTACACAAAATGAAATATTCAACACAACCCAAGGGATCATCCTTTTGTCGGCCAAATACTTGTGGTTTATCTTTAAGAATATCTTTTAAATTTTGTGAACAGAACTCCATTTGTATGAATAGAAACCCGGGTTCACGCCATGACTGATAACAATAGACCACATATTGTGATTTAACATTTACCAAATTAATTACTTCTCTCAAAGTTTTTGCGCTTTCATTTTCATTGGAATCTGAGAAATGTATTATTTTTTAGATTTTTCAGTATGGTCAATTTTCTTAAAATAATACCATTAAATGGGATCCGTTTAATGGCATAAATCTTTGCATCAATTTTGTCTCTGACTTTATATACACTCCCAAATCCTCCCTTTCCTTGAAAGGATAACTCATGGAATGCTTGTTTGTACCTAGGTAATTAAATACGATTACGTTATAACGATAATTGTTGAATATTTAAATAATTAATAATTTAACTAATTTTATAATTATGTAATTATTATCAGAGTACTTTATGTGAACCCGAACTTAGTTTAATATTACTGTATTACAAATTATAATATAATATATTTTATAAAATATCATATCTACTAATTTCCCTTTTAACTTATTTTTAATAGAAATATCATACAAGCCATTGAAAACATTTTCCGTAATAACACTTTCGGGCACCAGGTTCCGTAGTATATTATTGGTTGCATTGGTTTGTAATACAAGTGTTCTCTCATAGGGCTCGACTGCCATTGAAGTATTGGCTGATTGTTGGGTTTGTTGTTGTGAAAGGGTTCCGTTTGGATATGGGCCCAAAATAGTGGTATATGAAGGGACTGTAGTCGAGAGGCCAGCAACTGGTGGTAGTATCTGGTTGTTTGGACCCACAGTCGGTGTTAAGTTTGAATTTACGGCAAAATTGTAGCCATTATTTGCAATTGAATTATTGGGCTGAATGTATGGATGAGCCGGGTCTCCATTAATAGTTAGCATAGTTATGGCTGATTGCTGACCCTGGTCATTGCCAGTACATTCCAATTGTATTGATTGAAATACTGGCAAATCATAGCAATTTGTAGTATGACTGGCGATGTTTTGTGATTTCTACGTATGATATAATATAAGCTAATTAATTATAGTCTCAATCAAACTGACCTAGCTTACGAGTTTCAATCCTATTCTGTAGCACTTGTGTAGCTTACAGGCCGAGCATAAACTTATGTCACAATTTTCCAGAGCATCCATTTCCCCTTTTGGACAAATTTTCTA